ATAAAAGTTTTAAAGAAGCAACCGCGTCTTTAACACCTCTTCAAAACGAAACTTGTCGAAAAATAATAAAAATAGTTCAAATCCCTGAAGTAAGAGAAGAAGAGGTTGTTGTGGGAGAGGAAATTAATGTCGATTTTACACAATATGAAATTTCTCAAAATTGTTTAATTAAAGAAAAGAAGGTTGAAGAAGATGAGAAAAACAATTCTAAACAAGAAACGAATAATATAAAAGTTAATATGGAGGAATATCTTTCACTTAATGGTTTACTTCCAGCACTTCCTTTACTCTATCCTTATTCTTCTGTAAATAGTGCTGGGGTGGCTGGAACAATGACGGCGTGACCGGACAATCCGTCAGTGGACAATCCGGCAGTGGAATATCCGTCAGTGGACAATCCGTCAGTGGTCGGACAATCCGTCAGTGGACAATCCGTCAGTGAACAAATTCGTAATTCCTAGTCATACCCAGACTACCGTGGCCAAAATTTTACATTTCATCGTCTGGGGGTTTATAAGAGATATCGAAATTTGGAGCTTAATGATGAAATCGGCAGATTTAGCTGGATTAAAATGATATCAATGGATGTGGGAGATATCTGGGATTTCAAAGATATTGTGGGATTAAGAGGAATATACAAGATTTGCAGTATTATGGTGGTTAACGAGGAATTAGAGAGATTAAGATGGATTTCGGATGATTAAATGGGATATCAAGCGATAAAGCCGGATTAAGAGGATTTGGAGGATATCCAAATCTATTCCATCCAAATCCCCTATATCCTTCTAAATCCATCGACAATTCAACCAAACTACTCAATATTTATCTACCAAATCCATTGATGAATTTTCGATATCTTTCATAATCCCTGACGATAAAATGAAAATTTTTGTTCGCGGTAGCCTGAGTATGGGTAGAAATTACAAATTTGTTCACTGACGGATTGTCCATTGACGGATTGTCCGAGCACTGACGGATTGTCCACTGACGGATATTCCACTGCCGGATTGTCCACTGACGGATTGTCCGGGAGCCAATGACGGCCTAATTTGTGTTAAACGATTGGAATTTTGATGAAAGAGATGAATAGATTTTATTAAGGCCTTGTTTATTTCTTTTTGTTTTTACTAGAATCTCTGACTTATCCCTCTTTCAAGATTTTTTAAAAAGGGACATCTCAGAGCTTAATACTTCAAGAATGCTTTTAGGAAGGATATCCTTGCGATACTTAAGGAGGTTAAGAGAAGATATGTATGGGTACACCCCATCTTTACCGCAGCCCATCTTACCACGAGCCCAACTCACCGCATGCTTGCTCCCGAAGATATAACCAACTCCCATATCTTTGACTTGTTCCACCTTTCAAACTTTTTTAGAAGGGATATCTCTTGGAGGGATATCTAAGCTTGGGAAACTTAAGGGAGGATAAGAAAGAGAAGACTTGGAATAAGCTGGGAAACAAACTCAGTGATACAAGAAGAAGAGATTCCAGTTTACTTTTGCATTTTTTTTCTTGTCCCTAAGCCAAAGAAATATACCTAATTTGTTTTTATATAATGTATACTATATTCCTTGTCTGCAATTTCTAAAAAATTTTTCCTGTCCACTATTGTACATAAAAAATATTTTTTTCTTCAGTTTTTCATTTAAATTTTTGTACTTTAATTATTCCCAAAATAAATTTGTCCATTATTCAATGAACATTTTTTAAAAATGTTTCGATTTCTTATCGTTTTTGCAATTTTGCAAATTTATAAAATAAATAAATGTTTTTTCTACAAGTTTTTTGTCTTGCTTTTACTGAGATTTTGGGAATTTACGTTATATCAAGCTATCAATGAGGGTTATCTGAGTTCGAGCTTTCTTAAGTAGACGAACAAAGGAATAATGTTTATCAAAAGTAGAAATTTGTGTTGGACACGCTCGGTTAATTTTACCCTGTGGCGCCTTAAAAGCTCTTATTCTCCTCTACTTGACCCGCCAAAAGGAAAAATTAACCGGTCATGTCCAACTCTAATAGGTAAAAAGTTACAATGTAGGCGAAGGTGGGAAGGGGACCAGAGGTTGGAATGGGTTGGAACAGACGAGGGAAATCAGAGACTAGATTAGCTAGTATGATCCAACTAGACTGACACTAGACTAATAGAAACAGATCGGTCAAATTTATAATGAGACAAATACCTCCATTCAATACTGGAAATTTTCAAATTTTGACCATTTAAGGATTTTGAATAGGGTCGCCGGTCCGGCCCAAAAGATCGAGTCGGGCATCGAATTTTGGCCCGAAAAAGACTCGGTCGGGCTGGCCCGAAAACGGCAACCCTAATTATGAGATTTCCTTAATACTGGACTTGTTGATTAAACAACCACCCTTCGAAAACACCCAAAAAATTTTTTTCTTTTACCAACCCAAACAAATAAAAATACAGCATACAAATACAACAATTTGAAATTCACAAACAAAACAGAATATATTTATTTATTTCTTTTACTTCCTTCCTTTATTGACAGTCTTATACCTAGACCGCACTACAGTCTCTCCTTTTTTATTCTTAGTCTTAGTATACATTACATCACCAACTACAACAGTACACCAAGCTTTGCCTAAAACACCAACCAGAAAGATGACACAGCAAATAAATATTGTAATTGAAATTATGGCGAGTACTTTACGTGACAAATCTGTGAAAATAAATAAAAATTAATTGAAAAAAAGGGGGATAATAGAACGTCGGACCTGAGTTTGGAAATGTCCCAGGAATCCTGCCGACAAAAAACAAGAATTCAATATTTTGGGAATATGGAATTCCCAAATTGGGAAGGCAGGATTTTTTCGGGAATTGGGACGGCAGGATCCTTGAAGTGTATGTACCTTATGATGAGGTATCTTAAATTGAGTGGGTAATCACTAAGGCAGCAGTGCTTGGACGCTCGCACCTAAATTTATGCCTCTACTTACCTAAATTCGATTTACTTCTGGCCATTTTTAATTTTTACCGTTATGAGAATCTACTATTGTTGGACATTATAATACTCTCCTAGTACTGGATGTTTTGATAAAATACGAGTACAAGCAAAAATAGAGGTCAGTAAAAGGTACGAGCCCGAAAAACAGAAGAGAGAGGGTACAAGCACTGCTAGGCTACCCCTCCCTAATGGCCAACCAAATTTTTGGAAAAAAGTATCCTAAAATGGAGTCTATGAAGGTGTCTTATACTAAAGTCTGACTAGAAAAATATCGACGAAAGATATTGAGATAATTTTGGATATTCCCAAAATTCTAACCCATTTTATGCGGTTTATCAAGCGTCGTTGTTTCAACAGTTTTAGTGCTTGTAGTAGTAGGCATATTGGTGATATACGTAGAATCCGAATGATTAGAAGCACCGTTAGCCTTTGAAAAGAAAATTTTTTTTTGAAGAAAAATTAATTTTATTTTGGTTACCCCAATATTAGAATCCGTTTGATTTCCATCCAAAGAAGGCAAGGAGAAAGTAGAAACAACTGAAAAAATAAAAAGAAAATATTTGAAGGGATTATTGGTTAATGGAGCAGGCCAAGGTTTCACTAGCCCAAAGGTACTGCCTCCCAGAGCTGCCGAAGACCGAAAATTTTCCCCGACTCGAGACCAAGACCGTAAAAACCCCAAGAAAAGCCTTGAGTCAAGCCTCAAGACCAATAGTCTTGGACACCTCTACCGTCGACCTACAGCTTCCTTCAGAAATTGGCGAATCAAGGACGCACTGCTATGTGTAGTGGCGCTCGACGAGCTGAATCGATCTCCACTAAGACGTCCCTGATTCGACAATTTTGAAGGAAGTTGTAAGTCGGCGGTACCTCAGCATAAGGCACCTTGCCCTGCTCTAAAAAAAGACTGACCAACAAAAAGCAGCAACAACACTATAGCCATATTGAAGACTTTATTGGAGTTGTGGTAGAGAGAATTAAAAAGTTGCATTTTGCTTTTTAATTGAAAACGACTTGATGAAGCTTTGTTGTGGAGAATGGAAAGGATTAGAAGGGAGTGAAAGAAGTCCTTTTTATAGTAAATTTAAAAAAAAGCTTGGAGACATTCAGTTAAACGAGAGGCATTCAGCTATCAATGCTTGATACAATACAGTTAAAGTTTTCTCATACTAACTCCAATTTCTCTTCATTTGGTTGACCTTTTGTGTACCTATCTAATAATTAGGCATCGGATTTATCTGGAGTGGAACTCGCTAACGGAAGCAGACCAACCTACCGCGAGCCCAACTTACCGCCGAGCTATAACTTCGTTCAGAATTGTCGAACCCGGGACGCCCTGGTATGGTTGGATTCAGCTCGTCGAGGCGCATCGAACCATACTTGGTTGTCCCGGATTCGACAATTCTGAACGAAGTTATAGCTCGGCGGTAGGCTGGCCTTGCGGTAGGTTAGGGTGTACCCCTCGCTAACTGACCATCATTGACTACTGTATTTTTAACTCATCACTCGTTCAGCACTCGTTAAGACTTTGAGTTTTACTTTATTAATACAAGGCACACTTTAACGCCAGATTTTTATTCCAATTTTAATCAATTAAAAATTAAACAAAAGTCCATTTTCCCATAAAAATGCCCATTCGTCAAAACGTCTATTAGACAAAATGCCCATTACTAAAACATCAACTAAAGATCGATTTCTATTTTAATTGATCGAAAGTCCTTTATTTTATAAATTAAAGTTTAGTTAAAAAAGACAAATGTTTTTATTTGACAATTTTATAAAATTAAAGAAGGAACGAGGGATTTTATTGTTAAACGACATACTTAAAGAACAAAAAAGAAAGAAAAAGCGGATATAAAAGAAAGAAGAGGAAGGAGAATTAAAAATATTTGAACAGGTCACGAGTCAACTCAAGTTTTATTTATTAAATAAAACTTTCAAAAATTCAGTTTGAAAATTTAAAGAAAAATTTTTTTCTCTTTAGCCAAGCGGACAAATTTTCTTCGAATTTTTTAAAAAAAATTTTTTTTTGAATGGATGCCCCCAATGCCTTTGCTGCTGGACACAGGGCTCGTCGTTATTGTATTCCAACAATTATTCAATCAAATCGTGTTGATTGTCGGCCTAGACCTTTAGGCGTGGTAAGCAAGTTTTTAAACAAAGTTGAGATAAAATACACTCCCTTAGGGCAATCTATAAAGAGGTGTAGATGAGGGGATTATCAATAAGAGGGTATAATAAGGGGATATATCCCAATCAGGACTGAGCACAATTGCGGATTGCGCAAATTGCGTGTTTTTTTTTGACTTGCGGATTTTAAAATTAAAATTGCGGATTGCGGCTGCGGGAAATTTTTTTCCATTTGGAGACAGCCCTGCAACTAACTTGCCTTTTATTATACCGAATAAATTTAAGGGTGCCTCACTATTTTCCACCCAATGGTTATAAAACGGGGTTAGATTGAGGTTAGAAAACATGAGAATTTTTCGAAGACACTATTAAAAACTTTAACTTTTTTTAGCTTAAACGCAGTGTCTCAACAAGCTTTGCAACTCCAGTAACTAAAGTAACACCTTTTGGTGGCCAATACACGCCAAATTGGAATTATTTTTATTACAATCCACGTCCGTCATTTAATGTAGATAAAACTTATTTTGGAGATCCGGTAGGTTAAAAATAAATATTTAAATATACATATATTTCTAGTCCTCATTATACAGGGTGGCAATAAAGTAAGGGGGCACATTTCATTTCATCATAACTTTTTCTCTGTTTCATTTTTTAAATAATTTTATACTCATTTTGTAGCCCTGACAATTCTCTTTCAGGGTTTATGAGCCGGTTCCTTTATTGATACTCTTCTAAAAGATTCGGCGTTCGCTAAATTTCAACTCCTAGAAACCTCAATTACATATAAACCCAGAAATAATTACCAACGAGAATCCTTTTCCCAAGAAAAAGGTTTTTAACTGGGTGGGGGAGCTGCCTAAGCAGTTCCACTCTTTATTATATACCTCTATTTAAGAGACACCTCATTATAAGAGACTTTTTTCTGCACTAAAGGTGTACTGTAGTTTACTGTAGTCATTAAAAATTTTTTTGCAGAGAAATGTTTATTGGACAGGAAAGCATTCAAATCTTCCAGCAATTAATACTTTTGATAGAAAGGTTAAAAAAATTTTCTTCAAATTTTTTAAAAAATTAATTAAAAATTGCAGGAAACTACAAGTGCAAATTGCAGAGATTTTCATAACCAAAAACATTGGAATTATCCTTTTAGTTATTGGGCAACTTATTATTATTGGAATTAGAAGAGAGAAGGAAAGGAAGGATATTAGCATTTTAGAATGGTAAGGTGGTTTTTCGAGAAGTGTGCTGGATACAATACTGTAGTCCTGTAGCAATCTGTACTGAAAAAATTTATAAAATAACATTTCACTTCATTTTTAATAGGTTTAAAGTAAATGTGTCAATTTTCAATTTAATGTTAATAATTTTTGACATTTATAAAATATGAATTTTGTCTAAACAGTTTGAAAATATAAAAACACATATCGACATAAAAGAGCAGTAAGAATAGCGGCTTCATTTTGTCTGTTTTTCCAGTTTCAGGCATCCCCTTAATATCAAAAAGATAAACTTTATATGATTAAGATAAAAAACCTGTATAACACTGTGAATGAGGTAAAAGAACTGTGAATGAGGTTAAAAAATAAAATGTACATAGAGCAAGTGAAAATACTAAATTTGTACCATGGCTGTGCGAAATTTAAAAATAAAAAGCGAAATGCAAAACTTTTCGCGATAATAAATGCGAAATTAGCCCAGCCCTGATACTTAAACGTTTTTGTTTTTGTTTTTTCTTTTTTTGTTTTTTGTTTTTTTGTGTGTTTTCTTTTTTTTTGTGTTTTTGTTTTTTTGTGTTTTTTGTGTTTTTTACTTAACATTCAGAAATCATTTTCAGCCGTCACTTCTGCCAAATAGTTTTGAATATGTGCCTTTAAACTTATTTTTCGAAGGGCTAATGCTCTCCAAAAATTTTCCCACAATCGTGTCCAAGTCATCTAATACAAAATTTTCAGTAGTAACTCTTGAAGGCATCTCCGGAAACGGTGATTCTTCTTCAACTTCCTCCTTTATAGCCTTTTTAACAACATCAAGAAAAATGTCAATTTGACCATATCGAGCTTCTTTAATTGCATTTTTAATTTTCTGAGCATTTTCTTGATAGTAATGTGATCTAAATATTTTTTTTTTTCTTTATCGAACACAAATAAATAAGTGTGAAACAATAAAATAAAACTCCTTTTCTATTATATATTACATATAATCTAATAGCCCTCAGAAAAACAGCCAGTTAAATATAAAATAAGCGTAAACAAAAATAAGCTTTTTAAAAAAGCACAAATACTCCCTTATTAGCCAAGCTCTTAATCACGTGATCCTTACTAAACTCTTCCCAGATCCTATTCAAAGGTTGGGTTACATTTAGTAAACTACTGTAATCCTTAACAGACTCATTCTATATATAGTCTTGAAATGACCTTCGTCAAATGAAGACTCCGACCCCAGGGACTTCAAAATAGTGCTGGATACACTCTAGCTTTTAAGGACCTGAAGTTACAAATATTGCTTTTATTGAAAATTTTGAGAATTTTGACGGCTAAAAGCCATCACTTTAATATACGATTTCATGCTATGGAAAAATTCATTGGATGGAAGATGGAATAGAACTATCATGGAAAGGACCCAAATACAGCACAACCGACTGTGCCATGCCAACCCTATGATGGGTTATTTATTTTCATTTATATTCTTTCTGCAAGTACAGACACAACACTTACTTTATCGAAAAATTTTTTGAAAGGCTATGAACAGAATAAAATTTTAAATTTCAAAATAACTCACCCCATTATTTTGTTATATACTAGTTGAAATTTTTTGTTAAATTCTCTAAATCTAATAGAAAGCCCAATTCCCAAATATTCAGCAAGTGTAGCGTTGAAAGGTTGGTCGCCAAAGAATGGAATTACAATCATTGGAACACCTGCTTTGAGAATCTGGAATTTTAATTAAATAATTATTTTTTAAAATATTTTTATAAAAATATGTGTGGGGGAATATGTAAATTAAAGTTTCTCCTTTTAGTATTGAAAACGGTTGGATTAATTAATGGATTAATCAACTATTTTAGTGGCAGCAGGCCAACTTAGCGCAGACCTATAAATACGTTAAGAATTGTAGAATCCTGGATGCTATAATATGGTTCGATGCGCCTCGGCGAGCTGAATCGAACCATACCAGGTCATCCCACATTCAACAATTTTTAACAAAGTTATAGCTCTGTGTTAAGTTGGTCTCGCAGTAAGTTGGGGTTACCCAGTTTTAGTATCGAAAAGGAGCAAGGATGAAAACAAGGATATATATACATAGATATGGAATGATTAGTTGACAAAGTTTTATTATAAAATTTTTTTTAATAAGTTTATTATGAGAATAGAATGTGTGATGGGACTTATATATTTATATTAATCCAAATATTACCTTATATATTTATATTAATCCAAATATTACCTCGTTGAATTTATCTTGACCTCCATCAGTTACAAAAAGTTTAACTTGTGCTTTTTCTGTAAAAAGTTTTATTTTGATATTGTCTCTATACGCAAATCGTTCCGGCTTGATATTTTTCCTTACTTTTACTGAGCGGCTAGGAACGGTTATTTTTTCCCAACCCAATGCTGAGTTAATTACCTATTTTTATTAATATTCCTTCTGCAAGTGCGGACACAACATAAACGAATCGAATCAGTTTTGAGATTCGGTTACAGGGTGACAAGAAATGTTTAGGACAATTTTCATTTGGCCGTAACTTTTTTTCTCATTTATATTTTTTAAATATTTTATACTCATTTTGTAGCCCAAACAATTCTCTTTCAGAGCTTATAAGCCTGATTCCTTTATTAGACATTTCTCTTTGAGATTTAGCGTTCGCAAAATTTCACCTCCCCCCAAAGTTAAAAAAGCACTGTCCAAAAAATTTTTAACATATCACGGTAAGAAATTTTATGGGAATATTTTTTCTAAAACTTATCTTTAGAAGTAGGCATGAATGTTGTCTTTATAAAAAGTTGAAAAATCTGATTAGTAAATACACCCATGAAAGTAAGCATGGTCAAATTCCGAGTATACCTCAATCCACGGGTTTCTCTGAGATATAGCGCTATGGAAACTGCTTTGGCTAGAGAATCTAAAAGTTTTATGGCTTATAATGAAATAGGACTCAGACACTATATTATCAAAAAATCACAACTTTTTTCAAAAGAAATTAAAAGAGTTATAACCAAGAGATTCAAGTAACCTCTGAGGCAGTTCGCAAGTCAAGTGACACTTTTTAAAAACGGAAAATTTTTTATGAACGAGGGGCATGCCCGATTCGCAAAAGTGACTGATATTAGGCCTCTATATCTCCTCTTTCTAATTTAATTATTAAGGATTCCCAAAAGTATTCCTTCAAAATCATATGGATTGTTATTTGCAAAACGTTCAAAATTCCTTGATTTTCATGCATCCTTGGGTTAAAATAAATAAACACGCCTATCTATGAGAAATCTTTCAGGGTGTTTTACAGCCTTGGGTTTGAGGCAACTTTTGGCATAGGGACGGGATCTTTCAGCAGAATTCATCCCTTGCTTATAAGGCTAAATTAATGCTTGGTTGGTGGGCGGTAAATTTACCCAGTTTTAACTCGTCTCAAATATGGCTACCGTACTCATCGGAGTTGAATCCGATCGGGTTCTGCTTTTAGTATTTTTGAGGCAAAGGTATGTTCTTAATAATCCGAAAGTTTGAAGTCACTCCGATTCTTCTTCGTTCAGGAATGAGAGAAAATCTCACACGAGGAGGTGCGAACATTTGCCAAAAATTTTTCCACGCGACTTCTACTCTGTATCCAAACAAGGGGTTGGAACTTCGGAAATTCTTAATTATATTTGATCCTTAGTTATTTCTCTATCATATAAAATTAATTTGATCTCAATATCCTTAATTTAAAAAAAGTTATGCCATAAAAGGTTTGTCCTAAACATTTCTTGTCACCCTGTAGGTCCAGTTTAAAACAGGCAATTATATTCTCGATATTATTTAAACCGAACAAAAAATCAAGAAAAAATTTAGAAATTTTTAATAAAAAAATTTACCTAAAATTTCACGTTCTTTAATCATTCCATTATAAAAAATAATCGTTCTATTATTCTCATAGAAATGCCCTCCGGGTTTTAATTGGTTAAAAGGAGAAAAACTAGGTGTAACTCTGATAATATATTTACAATGAGGATTTGTAAATGTATTTTGTAAAGTGAAATAATGATCCTCAGTAAATCCTGTAAAATAAATTTGTGTTCATTGAAAACAAAACAACACAGTTTGCCTGAATAAATTATTATTTTAATATTTAATTTTGTTAATTTGTTAGCTAGGAGATAAACCCGATGGGAATCATGGGGGCTGGACAATTGGAGGTTGGACGATTGAATAATACCTATACAAATCGCTCCAATTGGCACGCGGACATATCGGGATATTTCAATGCACGAACAGTTACCCTACTGATTTTGGGACCTACAGGCATTGGGTCTTGGATAGTATACTGTCCAATTGAGCAATAGAGTTTTTATGTTTTATAATAGAACAAACGTAAACACGCAAGAAATTATTTTTGTCAGCCCAATTCCGATATCTCCGTCCCTATATGTCCGCACACCGTACCAGTTACCTATACAAATCGCTCCAGTTATCCATACATCAGGGGTGTGCCGTTTCGTCTTTCGCTTTTCAAAATCTGTTTCGGCACATCCCTGCTATACAATCGCTCCTTCCCTATGCTCCTATTAATTAATTAAAACCAAATTGCTCCTTCTTATTTTTACATCTTAGGTAGTCTGTTTTCGATTTTTTAAGTGTACTAAACCAAGCCTAATATCGCAAATAAAAAATATAAACTTTATAAATCCAATCCTCCTCTTCCTTATTTCTAGGGAAATATCCTTCAAATACTTTACTACTTTCAGTCACAACTTTTTTTCCTTTAGAATCTTTATTCTTTCTTATAAAATCATCCATTTCTCCTTCAATACCTCCAATATTTACAATTCTTTCAGACATTTTTGTATCAGAATATTGTCCAATTGGATAGACATTAATTAAATAATAACGAGATTTTCTTAATAAATCTCCAATTTTTATTATTTCATTGTCACTAAAATTTTTTTTGAATTCATTGAATTCTTCTCTTGCAATCCTTCTTTTATTCGACAAAAAATTAAAATAAAACTTTTCCCTTTTTTATAAAAATTAATAAATTTATTGATAGAATAAACATAGTGGTCATTGTCATTTCGATTAGATCGCCAATTAATAACTAACTCGTGCTCCAATCCTTGGCCTGGTTGAGCGTGGAAACGTTCTATAAATTGTTTTTAAATTACATATTTGTGCTTAGAGTTGTTTCAAAATTTAAGCTAAGATATCACTCCAGACACTTGTCGGAGCTCTACTCCGACAAATCACGATCCCCGATGGAAACCCTTAGTCGGAGTCGATTTTTTACTTAATGGGAAAATTGATGTTCAAAAAAGCTCTAAAATTCCAATAGTAATACCAATAATTCTCAGAGTCCCCGCCATCCAGACCAGACTTTATCTGACGATCTCTCCAAACTCTAACTGATTTTTTACTTTATTTGGGACTGGATCTTGTAGTGGATATTGCCACTTTTCTTGTATTTATTTGAAAAAAGGATGATTCCTGAATCTTGGCCTTTTGCAATTTATTTACTGTAACTAGAGATAAAGCAATTTCTCGTCTAACGGATGTCTCTCTTCAGGACGGCTGTGTTGTTGAATCTCGTTCTTTTCAAAACGAGAGAGTAGCTAACAACACAGCCTCCTAAAGAGAGACATATAATCCCGTTAGACAAAAAATTGCCTATCTCTAACTGTAACTATAAATCAGAAAAACTTTTTGCCTTCTGTTCGGAAATTACAAGTTCAAAATTATTATTGACCCCACAACCAACTCCGAACCAAAAGTCGAACCCTACCCAGCTATAGTCAACTTTAAAGATAACTTGCCAGGTATAGAAGAATAGAGTTTTTGCCCAAGAAAATGCAAATGAGCAGGAAAAGGGCTAACTGCCGATGTTGCTATGTATTTTTTTAATCCAACTTGTTCAAATAAAAGAAATGCTCCAGTCATTTCAGAAAACTCAGCCATTCCCAAATCAAAAAATTTTTCTTCAACTTTTTGTTTCAGCCAATCAAAAATATGTTCGTTTCTATTGTTAATTGTAACCAAAGGGTTTTCAATTATTGCTAAAATAGTGAATAAAATTATTTTAAAAATAAAATTCCCAAGTATTGAAATCAGCAGAGAACTGTTATTATTGTAAGGAAGAGAGAGATCCAGCTGGATAGCATTTAAAACGCTCACTAGGCGAGGTTTAATATCTATTAGAAGAGGTAATTCAGCCCTGGTAATTCAGTTGGTAGAGCACCTGTACGTGGTGAGCGAAAGCGCCTAGTAATAACTGTGGGCACATCCCAATGTACCGCAGAGCTATAACTTCGTTCAAATTATTGCTTAAATAGTTAATTTTTTTATCCCTTTATATATTAAATGAGTTTTGGGAGACTTTGTTTATCGATTTTTCAAAGGACTTTTTTAAAGAAGAAAAGGCAATAATTTTTGAAACGAAAATATGAGAATAATTAAGGATAAGAGTAAACAAAAAATTTATCTCTAATTTGGCCAAGAAAAAAAAAACAAAAAAATACTTCTCTAATTCTGCTTACCTTATTTACCTCGCATCAACCTTACTTTAAATGTAAACAACGAGTGCCCAGACAAAATGGTACACAAACAACGGTGTACAAAAGGCCTAAACAGTTCAAATTTTCAAAAGGTCGAAACAGTCCAAATTTTCAAAAGGTCGAAACAGTACAAATTTTCAAAAGGCCTAAACAGTTCCAATTTTCAAAAATCGAAACAGTCCAAATTTTCAAAAGGCCTAAACAGTTCAAATTTTCAAAAGGTCGAAACAGTCCAAATTTTCAAAAGGTCGAAACAGTACAAATTTTCAAAAGGCCTAAACAGTTCAAATTTTCAAAAGGTCGAAACAGTCCAAATTTTCAAAAGGTCGAAACAGTACAAATTTTCAAAAGGCCTAAACAGTTCAAATTTTCAAAAGGTCGAAACAGTCCAAATTTTCAAAAGGCCTAAACAGTCCAAATTTACAAAAGGTCGAAACAGTACAAATTTTCAAAAGGCCTAAACAGTTCAAATTTTCAAAAGGTCGAAACAGTCCAAATTTTCAAAAGGCCTTACTAGCCAAAAAGGTACAAAAGACCTAAACAGCTTAAAAGTACAAACAGCTAAGGATACAATTATACAAAAAAAACAAAAAGCTCTACAAGTTGGGTTTAGGTTTTAATAAAGTAATTTCGGATTTGAATAAATCTAGGGTAAACATATTCGAATTTTGTGAACTAGGAACTGATATTTTGTGAAAGCTAAAGACTTGAAAAAGCAAATAAGATATGTACTAATCAGATTAGACTAAAGTATTAAAAAAGCAGGTAAAACATGTGGGTTAAAACTGCAATGGTTTAAGATCAAGGTTCGTCAATGAGTAAGCGGTAAGGATCGTCATAGTTCGATATAAACTTTTTTAGTTCTGGTATTTGAAAAAACAACCAAAAACACAAAAGCTTTTAGTTTTAGTAAATTATTAAGATTGAAGCCACCGCGAGCTAAGAGAATAATTATTTAAACTGCGGAAATGTGCTTAAGAAAACTTTACTTTTTTTCTTTAAAAATTATATGTAGTTAATTTTTTTGTTGAAAAAGTTTAATCAGTTAACAAAAAATTTAAACAGAAGAAATTTTGTAAACAGGAATCTTCGGATTAATAAAGGAAAAGGCTGAATATGTTAGAAAAAATAGAATTTGTGAGAATTAAGAATAACAAGGAATTTAGTGATTAAGAGTGATATCAGTGATTTGTTGGACTAAAATAATGGAGGATTTGTTGAATTCAAGAAAATCACAAAGGATGGGAAATTTTGAGTGTATAAGAGGATCTGTTGGTAGTAAGGGATATCAGTGATTGAGGATCATAAAGTCGGTAATTAGGGTGGCTAATAAATAGTGCAAATTTGAAATTTAATTGTGGTTTGGTATTTGAGTAAATTAGGATATTTGAGAGATTAAAAATTAATATCGGGATAAGGGCTGTTCGAAATTACGTTTCGTTACGCTCTTTCGTGCCCTTTTTTCATTTCGTTTTGTTTCGAAACAAAATAGACAAAATTCCGGACGAAACGAATCAAAAAAAAGTTAGAAAATGCACCCCTTTTTCTAATCATAATTTTTAGTGAGTTCTGTCTTATGAGCAGCCTAAAATTGAAAAAATTTCGCCTGCGGCGCAGAAAATGGAAGAAATTTGGCCTTTTGAGCTCCAAAATTAAAAAAATTTTCGCATGCAGCGCCAAAAAGGAAGAAAGATTTTCCGGGTTTTGATAGAGCAGAGCAGCCTTCCGCCGCCCAACCTACCATAGTCCCAAATCTTTATATTTGTAATCTAAAAGTATTAAAAAATTTTGAAACAAAGATTCGAATATGCTGGAGTTTTACTCCAAATTGATATATGTCAATTTAAAGGGATTAATGGGTAAATTGTAGAGAGACAAGTTATGTTGCATAATTGAATTTTGGGGGATATCGAGAGCGGCAAATTTGAAGAGATTAAAGAGATATATTGGGATTTGAGTGATTAAAAGTGATATCGTTTATTTCGTTTCGTTAGTCCGAAACAAGCTTATTTCGTTTCGTTTCGCTCCGAAGCGAAATAGGAATTTTTTATTTCGTTTCGATTCGAAAAAAAAATATTTTTATTTCGATAAGCCTTGATCGGGATCTTGAAGTGATTAAGAGGAAAACGGGGGCATAGCGAGGTTAAAGCTGTAACAGAGGGGTTTGAAACTTGACTAAATAATGATTTGACTAAATAATCATATAGAGAGAAAACCGAAACTAGGAGATAAGACTGATAAATATAAGGATTATGAAGATTAAAATTGATTTTAACGATTAGGCGTTTAAGAGTTATAAAAGGATAAAGGAATTAGCATGAAGAGATTTAAAGTAATAGGGATATCACGGATTTGATAGAATTAAGTTTTTATAGTGGGATAATGTTCGTTAGAAGGATTTTATAGAGATTAAGAGGATTATCAATTAAACAAAAAGGAAATAAAGGAATTTTGTTGATTAAGAAAGATATCTATGATTTGAAAAGAGGCAAAAAATAGGATGTAGCAGAACGTCAACTGAATGAATATTATTGGCTCTTTTGAGAGGTGTGAATGATTAAAAACATAGTAATTTTGAGCGATATCAGGGGATTAAGAGAAAAAAGGGGATATTTGCGTTAAGAAATATCGAGAATTAAAATGCCTTACAGAATAAAGAACGATACGGGCGTTTGGTGAATCAAGATTGATAAATGAGGCTTTATAGGTTTCCAAGTGAAAATTCAAGGATTTGTGGGATATCGAGGAAAGATAGATAAAAAACACATCCGGGATATTTTTAGAAAATAGGGATGCGTGGATGGGTTCGTGAAATTGAGAGGGTTAGCCTTTTTTCCAGTTATTTTATTTCGGTTAAATAACGAACGAAACAAAATAAATTTTTTTAGAAGAAATTTTGTGGGATTTTAAATTTTTGAATTTTTCCAAACAATTTCCCTAAATAAGTAAAACAAAACAATATTTATTGGAGTTCAGTTGGGTCTAAATGTTTTTGTTTTGTATCTTCGCGAATTAGTTCAGGCATGCTTAAGTAAAATTGATTCTACTGAAAGGGAATCAAGAAGTGAATCCTGAGGGTTAAAGAGCGGTTTAATGTTCATTATATTTCAGTGATATAAAGGGGCACATGAGGATAAAAAGGGATATCCTCCGTTGAGTCTGCATGAAGGAACATAGAAGGATTAGAAGTGATTAAGACGGTAATTGCGTGTTTAACAGGATAACGACGTAGATATCTAGGGATTTGGTTGATTAAGAATGAAAACAGAAGTTTTGAAGGTTTAATCAGCTATATAAAGATAATGGAGTAAGGGAGATTAGGTAAGATATCGGGGGATTAAGAGCAGGGTTTCAATCTCAAATCTTATAAAATACGAAATTTTGATCAAAAAAATCCGCATTTTATATCAAAAATCAGCAAAAAATTATCAAACACAAAAATAAAATTAGAATCATTTTATGTATTATATTTTTCAATTGAACTGAGCAATTTTTTATTACTAAAAGTTTGAGGATTTTGGAAGGCAAGAAGCGAGATTTCTACCATTTAAAGCGCCGAAGGCAAAAATTTTGAAAATTTTGGAAGGTCTTTGCAGAAAAATAAAGACATTTTATCCAAAAAACTACAAAAAAATATGTCATCTAGAAAAGGAATATTAACATAAAAAATATGCTTTCGTGTTTTTAACAATGTTTTTTGTTTGAGAAATTAAAAAAAATATCGGAGTAAAGAGAAATTCGGGTAAAACCATAAAGAGCTATAAGATTTGGGAAACAAACAGATAAATCAAGGATCAAAGGTGGTTCCGTGATTTTGGGGTGTTTAAAAGGGATATCAGAAGATTTGGGGGCTGTAGGGTGATATCTCTGATTTCGGAAGTAAAGGGTCTATTTGGGATTGTGCGCAATTAATTAACTTATCAGAGGATTTTGTATGGTGTTCAAGAGAATGAAGGTTAATAGGATATCGGAGGATATTGGGCAAGGGTGATAACTGGCATTAAGTGAAAAAATTTTGGGGTTAGAGTCCGTTAATTGGTGTGTGAGAGTCTGCCGAGTAATGTAGGTAACTATAGGCAATGGGCAGATTTTGGTTGTAACATTGAAAGGTTTGAACGAGCGTTTTGGTGCCGCGAAGCGGCACCAAACCGCTCGTTTTAATTAATTTATTAATTTCGAATCCGGGACGCCCTGATACGTTTCGATTCAGCTCGACGAGATGCATCGAACCATACCAAGGCGTTCCAGATTTGACTATTTTGACGAAGTTATAGCTCTGCGGTACGTTGGGCTCACGGTACGTTGGCCTGCTCCCATAACTGGCAGGAGGTCGAAGGATTGAAGGCTGCCCGGGATTAAACTTTTACCTCGCTTTTACTTTATATTACAATATTCCTATATTCGATTTCAGAATGTCCGCTTAACATATG